ATATCCAGTTATTGTGCGCTTCAGCACCAGTGTCGTGTCATGCTCGTTAAATCTAGAAAGGAGGCCGTGGCTGTTGTAAAAAAAAAAGCAAAATTGGGCCACGTAGTAGAGATGATCAGAGCAGATTGTACTGTGGTTACAAGCCACAGAGCTCTATTCCTGCAAATACACTTGTCACCATTTCTCTGCATATCAGCCAGCAGTCATTTCCAATCACAAACAGGCAGAAAACCACTTCCCAACCCTGCTACGTTACATCCACTCTGCCACCTACTCACACTCCCCCCACCACCCGCACGGCACTGTGGGGCAGACAGGAAGTGGAGCCTACTGCCGAGATGTCCAGACGCAGTCTTAAAAAGGCTGTTAATCACCGCTCGTGATCCCCAAAACCCTCCACCGACACGCCTGTGCTATACTGACTACCAGGACACAGGAAAAGCTGCTAACAAGAGGGGACTGCTTGGCCTAGTTTGGTCATTTCATTTAGCTGAAGTAACCCAAGGACGGAGTTACACAAATATCAATGCTTATTTTTTTTTTTCCCAGACCTCTACCACTCTCTGTGTAAAGAAGCGCCTCTAGCTTTCAGTTCTGGATGCACTAGTGCGCAGTTTCCACCGGACAGCCAGGTTTATTGCAAGGGTAGTGGCCAATATCATTGAGTATAACATAGCAACAGTCCACGGTACGTTAGTTAAAAAATCATGTATCCTGGGATTGGAATTTGATTAACCACTGGCTGTCCGTCCTAACATTTAAAAGCATTATCGCACTTCACTCTACAATGAGATGAGGGGCCAAGGACACAAATGAACATTAAAGACAAGAATTTTCCAGAGTGGTAATAGGAGCAACTTTAGTTTTGACTGGAGTAATCCGCACAGTGGGGTGGCATGGTGGCATATTAGGAACAAGTAATAGGTTTATTCCATGCTGAAAAAAAGAAGAAAGAGAACACAACGTTTCGGCCGTGGAGCCTTCTTCAGGTGTTGGTTGGCATCGCTGCCTGGCAGCACTGGGGCCCTGGGCTCAGCTCTGGACCTGGGGTGCTGTCTGTGTGGAGTCTGCATGTTCTCCCCGTGTTCACAGGGGTTTCCTCCAGGTGCTCCACTTTCCTCCCACAGTCCAAAGACATACTGGCAGGTTCACTGGCTAGTGGGAAAACTGGCCGTGGCGCAGCTGTGTCAATGTCTGTGTGTCTGCCCTGTGATGGGCTTGCATCCTGCCCAGGCTGTACCCTGCCTTGCGCCTGTTGCTTGTTGGGATAGGCTCCAGCTTCCCTCTAACCCTAACTGCAGGAAGCAGTTAGAAAATGGATGGATAAACTATACAGCCATGCTGGTGAAGTGGACTGTCCGATTACACATATTGATAGTCTCGGATACCAGCACCTAAATTAACTAGGCCGGCTGAAAGGCCGTCTTCCTTTTGTTGCATTTCTAAAGGCCCTGCTGCTGTCCCTTGATGAGAAAGGAAAAAGAAATAAGAGAACCGTCTTCATATTCCAATTATTTCCCTGGCTCAATTATCTGCTGCCCCCCCCCCACCATCCACCATTTCACTTAGAATTCCCAAACAAATCCTTATCAAAGTCTATCACAGCTCCAGAAGACCTTGGGTGTCTGGAGCCAATGCATCAGCCACACTGAAAACCCTTCAGGACAAGCTGAGCACAGACGCCTCGCAGCCAGAGGAGAAAAAAAAAACTCTTTACGCTCATGGACGGAAGAGAAGTAACCCTTTCCATTAATTTCCTTTCCTGTGTAGGGCTGTTGAGTCAGAATGCTGCATCAGTCCATAGTCTCTGTTTCTTTTTCTTCACCCTCTGTGCTTACTAAGATGCGAAACAGGCATGTTACCCATTTCCTCCAGCTCGGCTGCGATCCTTGTCAGAACAGCTGGCTCTTACTCAGCTGTAGTGAAACTGGAAAAGAAAAATGTTCAGTACAGCCAAAGAGTACCTGCATTTTGATAGTTTCCCAATTGTATACCAAAAAACAAAGTGTCAAAACTAGGAGCTGGTTTCAAGGCTAAAATTTTGTGCATGGATAAAGCACATGAGACGTTTTTCTTTGTGTAAAAACGCCTGCTTGTTAAAGACCAAGCAGCAGGAGAGGGTGAATTACAACCTCAGAGATTCTATAGTTAGGTTTTTGTCAGAGAAATATATTGTCAGAAGAAAAGCATAGCTGATCAGCCTTTGGACTCATGACTGACAGGTTGTGGGTTCAAGTCCCTGCTGTTGTATCTTGAGTGAGGTACTTTACCCCAGTGGCTCCAGTCAACCCAACTAGACATGTGGGGATCGGCATTGCTGGGAGATAATCTCTGTGATCAAGCAGTCTTGCATCCAGAGGGGACAGCATGTGTCTCTAACCTGATTAACGCCATAGAGACCAAGCTGAACTTTGGCCTTATTCTCCTCTGTGGCTCTAGTCTGGACTGGACTTTTTGCCAAAGTGTTGTATTCTTCTTTCTTTCTTAATTCTCAGCATGGAATTACTCTGGATTTGTTCCATTGCAGCTCCCCAGTCTAAACTCTAAATCCGTTGGCTAACCGAAGTGCAGATATCTAACATCATAACGCAAAATTGGATTAAAGACAATGTTTGCAAACTCTCCACATGGGCTGGGTATATAAAGACAAAAATGCAAACTCATCTGGTCCTAAAGTAAAGCAGTTTTGGATCTGAGGTCATAACCTTCTTGGAATCAAAACGCGTGGCAAATTCCAGCCAATGGGATAGCACAACGCTGAAGGAATTATATAGATGCTCAACTCCATCTGTTTTAACCAACACCGAAACAGAAGCAGAATGTGGCAGCAGGTGACCTGTTGCTGTAAGGGACATTGAACCTTGAAATATTTCATTTCTGACTCTTACTCATACTCGTTATCCAGGCTACAAATGTTCATTAGTTGATTTGGATTTCCAGACCGAAGAGTGCTTGCAGTCATAGAAATGTAGAAAGCTGTAGAGGGGGACCATTTCATGCAAAATGTAAAAGGGGCCATTCAGGACTGAAAGTAGCAGGGTGGCAGGTGACAGGAACCAGACCAAACTTCAAGCTCAACTTCAAGGCTGGCTGGGCAAGAGACTGGTGCCCACCAGTGGGAGGTGCCTGTTCAAGTTCCACTCCTTACCAGGTGCTTGAGTTTCTCAGATACCTCCTTTCGATTTATAGGAATAGAAACTCCATTCCAAATAGCTCAGCTCCTCCCCTCAGCAACGCACAATCCCTACAAAGACACAGCTTTTACAAAAATAAAATATATATATATAAAAAAGAGAAAAAGGTGTTTGACTTACCTTACCCGTTGGGTAGATTTAGCAGTTAGTTGATCTAAGGATCACATTCCCCTGCGGGATCTGGTTATTTTATCATTAACTATCATTGATAGTTATTTTCTGCCCCCCCCAGAAAAACACAGCATTTTTTTCAAACGTTTTCATATACTGTAAACGATTTTCCTTATTCATGACCTAAATCGCCTGTTAACAACGGTGAGGAGTGAGGTGAGATTTGATCCTTTTTAATAGGACGCTGATCCCATGCTCCGTGACTTTATAAGCACAAACAACATTAGGGAACTGGAGCAGCGGTAAGCGGTGAGCAGAAACAGAAGCCCACTACAGCGTGCAAAGCCAGATGTTAAACACAAGAAACGAAAAGAAAAAAAAAACATGAATCTGGGACTACTGTAAAGATAAGGGTATCTCCCGACGCTTGGAACTTGAAACTGTACTGTAACAGCGGCGCTGTTAATGTTTTCTTCAGAGATGACAGGTAACTCTCGAAAATGCGTCAGGTAGGAGGTGCGAAGATCATGTTTGAGTCCTCGTTCAAAGGTTCAAAAAAATCCCCCAGACAGAACAGAATAATAATAACAACACATATTACCTTTTATCTCACCGTTTTCAAAGGATGTCAAAGGATGGGACTCGCCCAGGAAATATACATATATATAACACCTTCCACTGTATCATGCCTTCTGTTATTTTAATTGTTAGTCGTCATCATTGTTGAGCAATTCACAGATGGTTAACAGAGTGGAAACCACTATAATAGTATTTAAACAGGCAATCCTACCCTGTTCATCGCCATTCGGGATGAATGAGCAACTTCCAATCAGGTGCTTCAGTAGGCTGCCTTCCTGCTCCTGGTCGCTTGCGTGTTTTTTTCTGCGTTCGGCGATTCAGAAGAACAAGCTGTTTTACAACCCCTTTTTCTCGGTCTCTCCCCGTTACGCAGGTAACAGCCTGTACTGGGAGGCTGAACTTAAAACGAGAAAAGAAAGCGCTGCTTCAGACGAATCGGGTTTCTGTGGGTTTTCAATAACCACAGCTTCGGTCTAGTAAACGTTAGATATTATTTCGCTCCTTCAAGTCAAAAGGCATGTTGCGACGGAAAACCCCTTTTTTCGTTTCATGTGCTTTTTTTTTTCTCGATCTTTTTTTTTCTCTGTTATTCTTTTGTCTTTTCCAGGTCGGGGGTATTTTTTTTTTTTTCAGCAACCGACTTTTTCTAATGACTTTTCACTCTGCCCGACCTCTCTCTGCCGGTTGATTGGCAATACAAGTTCAAATGGATCATTAAAAAAAAAATATTCAGTGGAAAGAACAATCTTCTAATTAAGCCGAAAGTACTGTGAACTCATACACCCACAGCTATCTCACCTACACCCCATTCTCATCAAGTTCTTTAAATTACAGGCAACTTAAGACTTGGGAAGTTAGACTGGTTCAACCTCAATTGTAAGTAGTTTATCCTTCCTTCCTTCCTTCCTTCCTTCCATCCATCCATCCATCCATCCATCATGGACCTCTAAAACTGTTTAATCATTCATCCATTTTCTAAATTGCTTCTTCCAGTACAGAGTTATGGGACAGCTGGAGCCAATCCCAGCATGCATTCATTCTTTTGATGAGTCCTTGTTGCCCTCTGACCTTTAGTGTCTTCTGGCTTTGTTCCAGCCTGACCAGTCAATTAAGCAATGAACCTAATAACTGTCTTCACTGAACATTTTTAGAGGTTTTTCTTATGGGTCATTTAGAGCTCAAAGTGTTTCTTGGAGGGAGAGTTTCCTATGAAAGGCCTTGCACACAGGCTAGAATATCACGGCCTGCAGTTGACTTAGTAATCAGGCCAACTACGTCAGTGAAAGCTCATGTGAAGCAAAAGCCAGAAGACACCGGGCCCTCCAGGAGCCGAGCTTGACTCCTGCCCTGCACCCCGGTCAGGTATTGTGTTTCGAAAGGTCCCCAGGCTTGGCCTGGGCTTACTCCTCCCCTCCTGGTGGGTCTTCAGTGCAGGTGGGCGGTTAATAATGAAATCAGCTTGTTACTGGCTTAACTGGACCAGTTTGATTGCTTCTCCCTTAGGTGCTGCTGAAGCTTCTTTAAACAACCCCAGACAACCTGCGGGAGATACCTGATCTCCAGGGTCAGGATGGGAGACTCTTGATCTTGGGGATGGACACGGTGTCTCCGATCCATATATTATAGGGCATGTGTGTTTCTCTAGGTCTCTTTATAGCACCTGGATTTCAACAGCTGAGAAAAGTTGTTAACTTAGGTGCCTAGACCAATATAATAATAACAAATTGATTTACGTCATCAAGAGCTCAAATTGGAATAACAGCCTCTACACCAGGGGTCCCCAGTCCTGATCCTGGAGGGTCAAGGAGTCTGCGGGTTTTCTGTAATGTATCAGCACCCAAAGAGCTGGCTGAAGCTGTTAAACTGGGCAAACAATGCCAATAACGAGCTGGTTTGGGTCACGACGAGACCTTCGCTTTCTGAGCAGTCATGCAAATTAAGCTTTAAGGCTGCCAGTCAGATGAACCAGCAGCAGCTGTCGACGAGGTGGGAGGAAAGTGGTACAAACCTTCACAGCCAGCACTGCTAGCTCCCATGGAATGTCAGCAGTGAGGCCAGGCTGCATACGTGTACATTTGTGGGCAGAAGTGTAGGCAACCCTGGCCAAATTGTAGCTGACAGTCTCTCAGTGAAAACAGGCTGGTGCAACCTCTGTGTGGTACAAACGTAAACATCTTTCTGCAAATTTTAATGCACCATTACTATTTATTTGCCGATTTGAAAGGACTGGAAAACAAAAAAGTGACTGTGGCAGGTGAAAAAGTTTGGGCACTCTTCCGTTTGATTCATTCCTACGGTTTTAATTTGTGTTTTTCAAAGGCCCTAAAATGTGATTGAGTCGTAAGGCCTTCAATTACGTCCTGCGCATTAAACACTCTGACCCGCCGAACCTCTGGGGTTGTGATCGGTGTTCTGCCTATATCTGAACCTCGCGGCTGGATGCAGATCATTTAGAAACAATAAGATAAAGAGTCTGATTAAAATGTAATGTCGGGTTGGAATCCCAATCAGAGTGAGCAAGGGCACTCTGAGAACAAGGTTAGGACTCTGAATGAGGAAATAACAGAGCTTAGGCGAAATGAGAATTAGGTTGTAGTCAAGTCAAATCCTAATCATGATCCCATTTACTTGCCACTTCTTTCAATTCAGGGTCAAGGGGGAGTTGGAGCCTATGCCAGCAAGCAACAGGCACAAGGCAGGGTATAAGCTGGAGGGGACACCAGTCCATCACAGGGCAGACAGACACACACACACTCACACCAGGACCAATCTTCATAGAAACCGATTATCCAACCAGTATGTTTTATTTTGGACTGTGGGTGGAAACCGGAGCTCAGCGAGGAAACCTATGGGGAGAACATGCAAACTCCACACAGACAGCACCCCAGAAATTGAACCCAGGGCTCCAGCACTGTGAGGCAGGAAATCTAACACCTGTGCCATGCCACCTAATCCATTAATAAAATTATTGTTTTTAAGCCCTGAATTTGACAACAAAGGATAAGAGCTGCTGTTTTATGGCACCTTTCAGCAGCTAGTTAAGGTCCTGTAAGAGAATTTCAAGGATGGGCCTAGGACAGTGCAAACATTATCACCAGAGCTACTGTCCAGCTAGTGCTACATTTATATGGCCCCTGGAGCTGTTAATCTGGACCCCTCACATAATCCTTTGCTTTAAATTCCCCCATGCCCACTTTGAAAATAGTTTGGTCTGGGAAAGGGAAAGGTCAATTGATCCAGCTGGGATTCTGTACAATGAGAATGTGAAGAAGGTCGCTCTCTACTTGAGAACGGGCTGCAACATTAAGATCACTTTTATTAGCCCTATAGAATTTCTTGCATTAGGAATTTGTCTTTCCACATACCCCAGCTTGCGAGACTTGTCTTGTGTCTTGTGAGACACACAGACGGGGAGAGAGAAGCTGGGGGTCAGAGGGCAGGGTCAGCCATTTATACAGCGCCCCTGGAGCAGTTGGGGTTAAGGGCCTTGCTCAGGGGCCCAACGCAGTAGGATTCCTCTGCCGGCTGCGGGATTAACGCTTGCGTTTGGTGATTCAGTTCAGCTACAGGTAAGACAGCTACGGACCAGCAGCCTCTTCAAATCCTTACCATCTTCAGATTTGGCCAAGAGGCTTAACTGATCCAATTAAGAAACTAATTGGCTCAACTACCTAATTAAGAACTCAAAGTGAACCAGAGTTAATTGTCACTATGTTAGGCAATTGACAGTGCGGTGTAAGGTAAGTGTCACGATCGCTAACCCCTCCTCTTAAGGGCGCTCCGGCCCTGCCTCATTCCCTCCCATTGCCTGCACCTGTTCCCTATTCCCGCTCCCCCTTAAAAGCCAGACGCGGACCTCACTCCTGGTTCCTCATTGATTTCAGTATCGTGAGAGCGATGGGAGTCCTGCTGCGTCTGGCTCCGTTATGCTTTTAACTTTCTGTTCCTAGTTCCTGGTTCCCCTCGCCGGTTCCGACCCGGTTCCTGTTCCCCCCCCCACCGGATGGATCGCCTGGCTATGGACTTCAGCCCTTGTTTCTGTTTACCAGTTTGGATTTCCTATATGGATAGTTCCCCTGGATTCACTCCCCCTGGACACCTCCACTGCATGGACACACCCCCCTGTCTTCAGATCCTACTCCCTCATGAACTTTATCCTCGTGTATCCCCACCTACCGGATCATGTCGTCTGCATAGGGCCCGGAAAGAACTGTTCGTGACCGTAAGGTCTCTTAATGAATTGGTAGGAAAGTCTCCTGGCTGGAAGGTGTTTTGTCTGAACGGTGAATATATTGCATATCACACCTCTTCATTTTTCTTTCAAAAGACCAACTCTGGATCTCTCTCTCTTTTTTTTTTAAGAGACCGAGATTCTTGGAATTATAGACCACCACTGCTTCTTCTGCATCAGTGTCCTTTTAGTGAGAATCATCTCATGATGTCAGAATTAATCTGCCAAGCTCATCGATTTGCGCAAAAAAAAAAACGTCATCACCACCTCGGTTCCAGCTGCAGGAAGGTTCTCAAGAACAATAATCTCTAAGAATCGCGGCGAACGGAAGCTCTCTGTCTGTACATGTAAATGAAAATATATTTGTACAGTTCTGTGAAGAAAAATGACTCAGAAGTGTTAAACCTAAAATCCCATTTTGAGTTCTGAGGTAAGATAAAGATTATCTCCTTGTTGTTTTTATATTTCCCCCACAGGTCTTTATCAGCCTGTAGTTCAGCGATAAGAGTTTTTTTTTTTTTGTAACCTCCAAGAATTTGTCAATTGAAAAAAAGTTACACACTAGGCGGCAGAGATAATGCAACCGTGTGCGTCTGCGTGCAAGATCGGATATGATTTGCACGCAGACGCAAATCATGTGTCTGTGGAAAATTCGTCGAAACACTCTCCGCTTCTGGACTCTTCCAAGAAAAAAAGAAACTTTGATACCGGGGAAACAGGATGGGCCCTGGACAAACTGGAGGTGGGGAGGCTCCAATCAGGGTGAGAGGCTGCTAAATTTTGACAGGGTTTTGGTGAGAAGGAGATGATGAAGACAAGACCCTGGCTCACCCAAGATCCCTTCTTAGAAAGCCAATTATTCCTGGTAAGGAATCTCAACAAGGCACAGACCACAAGAGGCATTTTCAAACATTTTTCAGTCCACGTCATGTTTTGTACTCCAGATCTGTAAATCTTTTGTTTCCAGGAAACAGGGGAAAGTCGTCCAAACTAAGAGAACCCCTCTTCTAAGTTGGAATTCCTTTAAATGTTGGGGAAACTAGGCTTAAGATGAGGTTACACATTTTGTTAAAACCCCATATCCCCCTTTATTCATGAAAATAGGTACCTGAGCCCTACCTGGGTCTTTGTGTGTTTTAGTTGTGTGTCCACAACAAGACAAGAGCCAGAGAAAATACTTTTTTGTGCTGAATATTCTTGCATATGAGTCAAAGCTCAGACCAATCCATTCCCAACATAGGGACAGAATCAAATACATCAAGAGTTAAAGGTAGATACATTTCCCCTACACTAGTGCACTGGATACATGAATTTTCAACTCATTTACATCGAAAGGATAATGTACTGGTAAGTTTGTTTGTTTGCAATCATCTACTGTTATAAAAAAAACTTTGAGAAACTTTAAGCTACAGTATTTTAAGTGTAAACCTTGGCATACAGAGCTTTCTAAAGTACTGGTAAGCACAGTGGCACAGTGGTCAGCATCATAGCCTCACAGTGCTAGGGCCCTGGGTTCAAATCCCAATCTGGGTGCTGTCTGTGGGAAGTTTGTATGTTTTTCCCATGTTTACGTGGGTTTCCTTTGGGTGCTCTGGTTTCCTCCCACAGCACAAAGATATACTGGTGGGTTCACTGGCTTGTGGGAAATGAGTGTGTGTCTGTGTCTGTGTGTTCCCTGAGATGGACTAGTGTCCCATCCATCACTGCTTGCTGGGATAGGCTCTGGCTCTCCCATGACACTATACTGGATAAAGTGGTTAGAAAATGGATGGATGGTAGGCTTGGTCATATCTTCACAAAAACAATGGAAAGACATCAACAAAGCTCCCAATGGGATGGGACACATGGGATGACTGCTGTATGCTGTATGAGATATGAGCCTGGAAACACTAAAAGAACTATTGTTACATCTGTTAATTGTGGATTTTTCCTGTAGTTTTTGTCACAAGAATAAAACCAAAAACAGTGCTAAGGTGTACTGCATAAGTCAGTAAAACGTCTATTATCTGTGAGCAAAGAGGCCCTTATATTTAAACTTTCATCACAGTTTCTTAGAATATCACTGCAAGCAAACTCTGCCATGTGTACATTAACAATGAGGCATTACTTGTAAAAAATGTCTTGTAATAAATTCAAAAGAACAAAAATACTTTCTGTGCAAACACCATGATTTTCCATTACTGGGTTCAGCCCAAATCTGCATAAACTGAACTCACCACAGTGGGAAACCAAACAAGATATTTAGGCACCATTTTCTAATGATTTTTTTGTAAAAAGTTTGTTTTCTGAAAGGGAATGTCCTCTTGCTGTCATTATAGACAATATCTTGCAAGGGGGCATTTTCGTTAATTTTGTGACCAAATCATGTAGTCCTGACCACATCGACGTGCACATGTCCCCTGACATACACAGCAATCAGACACTAAATATAATCACACACAATCACACAGACACATCAGTATTCTGAGACGCAGGATTCACACAATAACTGGTATAATGCTGAAGTGTTTAATAACACCCCCCCTGTTATGCAGAAAACCATGAAACACCTCCATAGTACATGTATTAACCTCAGGCATGTAATACTCATGCCAGGCATAAACATTTCTATTTAAAGCATTGCATGCTTGCACAACACAGGCAGGCATAACCCCTATCTGCGCTTTGTGTGCTGATGTGAAGATAGTGATGTGGTACAGCATGTTTTTATATCAGTAATTCTCAACCCTAGTCCTGGAGGACACCTGTGCCTGCTGGTTTGTATTGCAACTGAGCCCTTAATCACCAGTGCTAATTGCTGCCTCTAATAGATTTGCCTGCTGGTTTAGGCTTGATCTGCACTCAGTCCTTGGTCTGAAAAACCCGCTAGTTAACGGTGCATGATTTACACCACCTTGAGCACTCACAGTCAGTCACAGTTTTTATTTCGGCTCAAGTCCGGTTGTGCTTGTGTGAGATCAGTCCTGAACCTGGCTAATTCACGCAGGGTTCATACAGATTACAGACCTCATTCAGCCTTTCAAGAGCGGAAAGCACACTTTAAATGAAGGCCTGAAATAGAAAATGGAAACCTGTGGTTCTGAAAATAGCAAGAGCACAAACCAGAATACACAGGGGTCTGAACTGAGAACCTCTGTACAGAGGTTCTCAGTTACTAAAGTAAACCAATTAATTGAACAAGTTCAACAGAGACTCCTGGTTTATGCATTTAGGGATATTTGAAGATTAAACCACAAACCAGCAGGACATATGAAATAAGGCTACTTTCACTATAACAAACTAAAAGAGGCCAACATAAAAAGATAACACAATATAAAAATAAAAGATGAAGTAGCTTTTCCTGTCAAGATTTCAATCAGCATTTCTGCAGGTAACAGAGATCCTTTTTTCAAGGAACCACAGCACATTTTATTAGCAAGGGGCTAGGTTGTGAAGAAACAGGGCTGTCTTCTCCATTTCTGTAGTGAATGAGCATGTATGTGTGAATTACTAAGTATTTAATCTCTCAATTCTTGCCATTCCTACTCCCTGTCTCTCCCAGGGCTTTGTTCAGCTTCTGGTTCATAAAATTTCTTTCTATCCACTTCCCTGAAACAGAGAGACACAGAAAGGGGCGTGAGGGTTGTGAGACTACGACTACGCCTGATAGAAATATTCCAAATCCTCTAAGGCACGTCTTTACCAAAGGGTAAAGACTTTTACAAAGGGTGGTGGGAGTAGGGAACCTGTTACCCAGCCACCTTGGTGAAGCTGATACCCTGGCTCT